TATATATATATATATATAAGTATCTAAATACTTTTGTGAGGAATTATACCTTTAGAAAGCCTTTAGGTTTCATTTAGGAGCTAAAACAAATAAAAATTAATTTTACGAAATATTAATTGCAAAATTTTATATATTGCACACAGTTGCCATGCAACGAATATAATAACCGTAAGAATGTAATGATTGCAAGAACGTAAATGAATACTGCAAATTGCATATGCAAATTGTTCAATTGTTTTATCACGCGATAACGATCGAGTTATATCATTTTTAGTTGACAAAATGATTAAAAAATTCAATTGACTTGCGAGCATAATTGTTCTATATTTATCTTTCGTTATTGACACTTTATTTTGCAAACGTCGTAAAGTGTATCGATTCGACAAACGTCGTTTTAGTCAGGTTAAAATTTCTATTCCGTTTTTTACGTATAGCGTATCGTATGTTATTCCGACAATTGTTTAATCATTTTTTGGAGGATCCCGTAGCATTCCTAGGCGCTTAGCTTATAGTATTATTAGCAAGGTGAATCGTATACGGAAGTTAAATTTGACTTATTGAAGTTTTAAAAACTGTGTCTGTTCTGACGATACTCGAATCGTTTCAATTAATATAAGAACTGTGAACTTTTACTTTTGTAACAATGATGCGCTACATTTGGATCTGGGAGAGGGGGTGACCCTCCCCCAGAGGCACTGCATTCGGACATAGTGTATATAAGAGTGCTCCATACCGGATGTTTGACCCAGAACTTCGTGAGGGAACAGTGAAAGTACATCCTGATTCAAGTTCATTTTTCGCCGATAGTCATAATGGTTAAGAAGCAAATATAGAATCAAATTTAAATAACGGCTACATTTGTGTCTAATCTTTGCTTATAACTAACGCATATAACTAAATTTCAAACCATTGAATCATGTTATTATATTGAAAAAGAGCTTTGCAGTTTTTCACTCACACGATACTTTATTTATTTCACAGAAAATTTACTTGATACTGGGCCTGTTGTGTATGGGCGCGAATGGAGAAAAGAAGATTAACTTGGACGACATAGAAAGAGATAATTTAAGAGCAGAAGGTATATCGAAATCCGGCATTACACAATTCGAGGGATCAAAATATCTCACGAAGCCAGTAATTGGTCAGCAACAGTACCAA